AATATTTACAAATGTCACCACTACTCTAATATTCAAGTTATATTCAGCTGAATATTCACGGTATTTAAGATAAATGATATTAATAGGAAAATAACATTATGGCCAAGATATGTTCGACATAGTGCCTGAATAACACCCGTCTACGACTTGTATGTGCTTGGATTCTACGTTCGGTGAACAACTTGCTCTCCGACTGGGGGCGCTGCGGTAATGTTACATAACACCCCTAAGTCACTCCAGTGTTCCTCGTCAGCAACGAATGCAGCTGTCTGTATATTGATTTCATCTGGTTCTAACTCCCCAGCGTCGTTCATTCTTAACAATATGATGTATTCAGTTCCATTGTCAACGAGGGTCCTTGAACATGACGTCAGATACCCCATATTTGTTATATTCACATACTTTCGTATGGTTGTCCCTGCATACAAGGAAGAAAACGGTAATTTTGTTATGAACGTATTAAAGCGGGAGTCAGATGGCCATAACGTGTAAATGTTTACAAACAAGCGTCTACCCATGAGCCTTTGCGTTTTTAGTGTGTGTTGTTATCGTCGCTTGGGACTCAATTTCCGCGCGTGCGCAGGTGACACCCTCCCGCTTTAAATCAAGAAATAAACATTTTACATTATCCTTTTACCGACAACAATGTTACGACGACCCTGAACCATGACCCTACTAGTGACCAACAAGACTCGGGCAAGTCTGTGAAAACAGCACTTGTACGGAGACGGAAAAATATAGAATGTAATACACACCTCTAAAGATGCAATCTGTCTCAAACTCTGCTATGTACGCTTCTGGGAAAGAAGTCGGATGTTCTGGTATTGGATACAGGTTTGTCACTATACCGTTGACAATGGTATCGGCTCGTGACGCTCTCTCTAGAAATGTTAATGAATTCCATGGATACGCTGGGCTACACCCAGGACAGAGGTGAATGAAAGAAGTAGTGATCACAAAACCGACAAGCAAATAATGAGTCATGATCTACTGACTACTGTGTGTGTCGCGTCCGGTCTATCGCAATCAACCGCTCATATAACTTACAGGTCAGGCTGCCGTGTACGCCGCCGTTGAGTACTAATAATATGTTTTCCGCGGCGAGGGGACCACAAATAAGCCGTAGAGACGGTTAATACAGCAAGGTTCCACTCCGTACTACATTGATATAAATTATACCGGAAACACGACTACCAGAAAGAAGAAAGCAGCTGTCTCATACAAGTTTCTCGTATTTGTGTCTGTGCTATGCTTCACTGTCTTGTGACAACACGTAAATGAGGTCACAATATCGTATTACTCTCAGTGAGGGCGCTATTTCAAAACATCATTACTCCCTAATACTAAAATATGTTTGGATAATTAGAGTCCTAGCACATTAGCACGTATGGTCCGGTTAGACTTAAAATACACCACGAATATTCACTTTTGAGATATAATTTTTGGTATGTGTTGATTCTTGGATATTTCATCTTCGTCGTCCTGTACTTCGTTTAGTAATTCGAACTTCCAGTTTGCGTAAAAAGGGCGAATTTCGCGATTTCCGCATCGAAAATGCCTTTTGCTTCATTATTT